TTAATCCTTATAACATCTATTACTATCGAATCTTCAAAAAATTTTATTATTTCATAAACAATCTTAGCAACATCTCTTAATATATTACCAATACCTTGATTAAACCATGTTAATTGATCTTCATCATGTTCAATCAGGCTATGAAATCGATCCACATCAGTTGCTGCATATGCTTTTTTTCTTTTTGTCAGGACAAATTGATATGCATACGTGCAAGATCATTTGTATCTGTTGGTGATATAAATCTTACTCCAAGATCAACAACTTTTGAGCAACAGTGATATGTTAATCATACTGATGACGGTTGATTTACGTCATTTTCATCTAGCCCTATACAATATAGAATTACTAACAATCATTTGTCAAAAAAATTTCTCAAATCTAATTCAATATCGTAGTACATCTTTATTAATTTAAATTATTGAAATAATAATTTACTATCAATGCAATCTTTAACTGGTTCAAATTCTCAGAATGAAATTTAAATATTAATATATTGTTTTATTCGTTGAAATTATATACTATTTTAGATAGCTAAAACTATGACTTTTTTAGGGAGATAATAGAAGACCTGGAGTCTTCTAATGTGTCTGGGGCTTTAATTCATATATTTCCATCATCTACATTGCTCCGGCACTATCATTATTTCCATTACACAATGGGAGCCCATTAGCAGAAACTTGAACATAGTTTTCAAAAATTCATAAAATGCACTATATGCAGAATTATGGTTTATTTTTAATTGAGTATAATTTTGTCATTTTAATAGTCCTGGGTAAGAAATATCGTTCTAAGGACATCTAACAAGAAATCTAAACTAATTAAATCTGAAAAACTAAGAATATTCCTTCGTTACAACCTATTGCTAAATAGGTTAGAATTAAAATATTGCAAAATAATTTTGAATACTGTCTAAATCTTATAAATTGTCTTTTCAAAATAATATAAAGATAATAGAATTAATGGGTTTTATTTTGTCCTAATTTTACTCTTTTTTTTATATCGGTAATAAAGTGAAATATCATTATTAACTTTGCTCACGAAGGAACCACTTACCAACTGATACTCACTGTGTGAGCTCATGTTGAGATTATAAGGAGGCCTCAGTAAGACTAGGAGAAGCCTAAAAGAGTTTGTTCGTATAGACCTTTGAAGTCATACTTGGATTGCTTCATTAAATAAGTGACCTGTAGAATATCGTACAAAGTTTGACCCGAAAACAATTTTCTTTTGTCAAGATATCGAATTTTGAAAATACAGTTATTTGCTATAGATATAACAGAAAAATTAAGTTCACTTGAAAATTGAACAATTTTATAATGTTATGATATCTCATAATAATTACCCAGAATCATTTTGTGTTTTTTCTTCATCATGTTATATCGTCCGTTTTATTCTGTACAAATCCAGTATATAGTTTTTATGGCTTTTACATTTCAATATTAAATTTTCTTTTTCAAATACAAAGATTAATAAAACGCAACAAAAAAACATGTGTTATTTGATCAATAGTCAAGTAAATGTCATCAACATTGAATTTAACTTCCATCAGCAAATTTGCATTCATGTGAAAAAGTCAATTTTAATTAATAACAAATGATATCGAAAGAATTGATGATCTTTATTTTTGAAATGGACCTCTCTTTGTAAACAAAATAAAAGGTTGATTTAGATATAAAAGTCGGAATGTTTTTTTCAGACAAAAGTTTTAGAAAGGACAAGTATTGCTATTGATTCTCCTAATCTCTATGGATAATTATTTACTTATATTTCAAAATGTCAAGTTAAACCTATGAAAAATCTGATATTTTGCTCGTTAGACATCTACTTGTCTCTATTGGACACGAATGTTTCCTTACGAATAACAGTTGCATGCATATGATCTTAGAGAAAAAAACAATCTTCATTTGCCCTTCATTTGTTTCTCTACAGTGTACTACAATGAAAATCCGAAAAGAAAAACTTAGAAAACAACTCACACAATGTATTTTACTTCACAAAATCAAAAAAAAAATAAGTGCATAAAAAAGTTTGAAGAAACTTCGTAATTCAGAAATCGATATGATACTCAAGTGTTATCACAGATCAAGTTAGACGATAAATCGATATTGTAATCAGAGCTGAGCACAAAACACGATGATTCTGTGCTCAGCTCTGAATTAGATCAACAACCAATTGACAAATCATTACATAAGAAATTTAAAAGCAATTTATTTAGTCGATTTGTATCAAGCAGTTTCATCTCTTTGTGAAAAAAAAACCGACGAACTTAATCGTCATCTTAATTTAGAATTTGATAAATCAAAATTAGAATCTAATTCTTTGACATTTTGAAATGAGTACCAAGAGAAATTTCTCCAATTTGTTCACTCAATACGTGCTATATCAGCTAGTATAGAGAGATAGTTCTCAGGAGCGGGTTTAATTGTACAAGAACGAAGAACTAGTCCTAATTCTGAACAGCTGGATAATATTTTATTGATTAGGACAATGAAAAAAATAAAATAAAACATTTGTTTTGGTTTTGTATATTGTTTTCTTTTCCTTTGTATCATTTTTGTCATCAAGTACTTTTTTTATTGTTCTATTTGCTTTATTGATAGCATTCCCTCTGTGGTAAGATAATGATGATAAAATCAGACAAATTCATATTTTCTATATATTTATTTCCTGTGCTGAGCACATCATTAAAATAATAACATGAGATATTTTTATACTTTTTGTATTTATAATATTAGTTATTATTAAAAGACTTTGGTTGTTGTATTTGAAAATGACTTGAAATAAATTAGCTAAAAGATAATTAATAAACTAATATGTATTTTGATGATTAAAAATTAATATAAGAATTTCTACTGTCCTATAGGATAAGACAAAGCTAGAAATAATGTCCTGTCTTGTCACTTGTCAGGACAGAAAAACTTGTAAACATTATATCATTGTTTGTCTTATTTTTATTTCAAAGAATGAAACAAAAATGTATCATTGATATACAAAAGATAAGAGTCATGTTTGTAAAATGATAAGTACTTCTCTATTCTTTTATTAGTTATATATTTACACATTTTTTTTTGTCTCGTTAAAATAATGTCTCAACTATGTGCTATTCCAACATGTAAGTATAAATCATCTACTTTATGTTCTTGTTGTAATAAAAATATCTGTATTGAACATGTGAAAGAACATAATGATTTAAGAAAATCAGAACTAAAGTCTTTAAATGATGAAACCATTACACTCAATGATCAATTTAAGACATTTGACATAGATAAATTAATTAAAGATAGTTGTGAAATACTCGATAAATGGAAAGATGATTGTCATAAAATTATTAATTGTTATTATGAACAAAAATTTCAAGAACTTGAACGATTTTTGACTCAAAAAATTGATCAATATCGAAAAGAAATCGATCAAATACAATCAACAATTATTGATTCAATTGATAATGAAAAATTTACAGAAAAAAATCTTCAATCTTTAAAATTAACAATTTATGATATTAAACAAGAGATAAATAAAATGAAAGAAAAAGGCATACAAATCAATATTCGTCCTTTTATATTAGATAATCATACAATTTCTATAAAAGATTCTAAACCAAATGCATTTAATATAAATACATCAATTCTTTCATCTCCATATCATACAATTGAATGTATTGATGGATGGCAATCAGAACTTGCTAGTAATGATCAATCGATTTTAATTAGTTTATCTAATAATTTATGTTTATTTGATCGAGATTTAAATCTTATAAAAAAATCTTTATGGACATATGAATGTATTTATGATATGTGTTGGTCATCAACATTATCAAATTTTATTGTTATAACAAATAAAAATAAAGTTTATCGTATTCATGAAACTACTTTATCAATTGAACGTATTTATGGAATTGAAGATAAAGATTGGTTATCTTGTACATGTTCAGATACATATCTTTATTTAACAACACGTGAAATAGGTTCAAATATATTTCAATTTAAACTTTTACCATTAATTCGACCAGTTAAACAATGGCAACCACCATATTCTTGTAAACCACATGAATCTATTCATGCTATTCAATATAATAATAGAACACTTGCTTTAATAATTCGAAAATCTTTTGGAGGTGTTATTAATATTGAACTTCGATCATCAACAACACTCAATCGAATTTGGACACTTCCACTTGATATTAGAAGTTCTGGAGTATGGTCTCGAATTAATTGTTCTTCACTTCAATATGATGAATGGCTTCTAGCACATACATCTACTTCACGTTTCTTTCATATTAGTAAAGATGGAACTTTGAACATCATACATGAATATCATCCAAAATTTAATAATGCTCTCATGTTTGGTTCAAATATATTAGTTATACATTTAGGAAAAAAAGTTCATTTTCATAAATTATAGTAAGACATTACTATTCGATTTTATTATATTTCTTTATTTTATAATTAATAAACATCGAAAATTAACTCCATATCATTAAATATAATTTCTAATTTACTTTTTTTTTACAACTTGTGTTCTTTGCATTTATAGTAATAGAAAGATTTCATTTATTGGATTTCTATTTGTAGATTTGATTTATTCAAGAAAATTTTAATTTTGCTTAGATAAAATAATCTTCTTTATATTTAGTTTTTTCAAGTTAATAAATCAGGCTATTTTTTCATGTTGGCGCAAACAATCACAGTGACATTGTATGACATAAAACTAAGAATTTCCAACTTTTTCAAACATTAGTATCAACATTCTTTTTCTGGACGAAAATGTTAGCGATCAGAAAGATAAACCAAAGACATGTCATTGGTAATATATTTTAATTATACATTAGAAGGGTATCTTCTCGTTTCATTAAAATTTCTTTCAATTAGTACATTTCATAGACACATTTATTTTTCCTTTTAATTGGCACAATTTCAAAATTTTACTAAAGAAATCTTGTCTTGAAAAGAAAGAAATAAACTAAACCGTAGTGAGACTATTCAACACTTTTAAAATAAATGTTACCATCAGTAAAAAGGTCTGAAAAATGCTTGCAATTAGCATACATGGGTATGAATGTAGGCATTGGACTTCTGTACTTCCCAAACACTCGGATACACGGATTGACATCATCGACTCAATGCAAATTTTGCTACCTCAAGTTTAAATTCATATGTAGTAATAATTAATGAAATAATGAAAAACTATGGGTTCAACATGGTTATCATAAAAATAACTTAGCGACCATACGAACAAGCCTCCACGAAATAAAAAATTTATTTTTTGGGGAGCAACAGATTCTTGACTTAATGAAGCGATAATGAAGAAAATTGTTTGTCAATAGTTCAATGTTTTAATGAGATTAGTGGAACAATTGGTAAAAAATTATATTCATATTTTGTTACCAAAATGTTATGGAGCGTGACACGACATTTACGCGCGCGACAATTGCGCGCCGACACTTACGCACCGACATTTACGCGCACGACATATGCGCACAAGACGTGAACGCGCATGACGCTTGCGCATAAAATAATTTTCTTTTCGTTCTGTTCTCATCTAA